TAATGAGTGGCATGTGTGTGTTCCAGGATCCTGAGCCACCAGCCTAGGAGAAGTAACCGAATTAGAAGGAGACCCGAACTCTTTAGCTTCTTAAGAGAGTTCTATGAGCAGATTGAAGACATATCCTTGCATGAACCCTGTTCCTACCAAGAGGGCATATTCAATCTAGAAAAGAACTAGTGGGAAGAAACCAAGGTAGATGAACTAAACTCCATTAAATATAACCATGTTTGGGATCTAATCACCCTACCTCATGATTGAAATCTTATGTAAATGTATTACAGGAAAAGGGTGAATGCGGAAGGGAAGTTAAAAAAGTATAAAGCCAGATTCGTTGCGAAGGGGTTCACTTAAAAAGAAGGGATTGACTATGATGAGACCTTCCTAGTAGCTAAGTTCCCACTCATTAGGATCTTGCTAGTCAAAGCAGCCCATTTCGACTTCGAGCTCCACCAGATAGATGTAAAGATGGCATTTTTAAATGGGGAAGTAGAAGAAGAAATTTACATAAAGCAGCCAAAGGTTTTCATAGAAAAGGGTAAAGAAAGCTTAATATGCATACTTAAGAAATCCCTTTATGGCCTAAAACAAGCATCTTAGCAGTTGTACATGAAGTTTCAAGAGATCTTGTCAAAAGCTGGTTTTGTGACTAACCAGGAGGATTATTGCATCTATGTCAAGGTCAATGGGAGTGATGTAGTGTTCATCTCCCTGTATGTTGATGACATGCTAATTGCTAGTAGTTCAATGACTCTTGTTTTGGAAACAAAAGCTTTCATTTCTCAGCACTTTAATATAAAGGATCTTGGAGAGGCTTTGTATGTACTCGATATCAAGATAACTAAAAATAGAAGAGAGAGAACCATTCAGCTATCACATGAGACATATTGCAAGAAAATATTGGAAGTATTTGTGATGGATAATTGTAATCCCATATTGACCCCTATTAATAAAAAAACTAGTTAAGCCTAGCCATGTGTCCCACAAGTTCAAAAGGAAAAGAGCCATGTATATAAATACATTACAGATGTGCAGTCGGGTTGCTATGTATGCTATGTTAGGGACGAGACCGGATTGACTTATCTTTTGCTATGAGTTTGATTAGCAGGTTCTAAAGTAATCTAGGCATGGAGAACTGGAAATAGATAAAACAAGTATTGCGGCAGTTAAAGGGGACTGTTAATCTTGCACTCACATATGGAGGAAGCTCTGATATTTAGGCATAGAGATATTCAGATGCAGACAATTGGGGAGATCCAAATGAGAAGTCCACATGTAGGTATATCTTCACTCTTACCAGTGGAGATGGTTCTTGGTGCTGAAAGAAACATGACGTGGTTGCAATCTCAACTATGGAGTCAAAGTATGTGGCTTATGGTCTCGCAACGAAAGAAGCAGTTTGGTTGAAGAAGTTTTAGAATCAGCTCAGATTCAATCTAGTGAGATGTCCATGCATAAGGATCTTCTATGATAACAAGACAACGAGGTCTAATGGGCAACGATTTCACAAGAAATCAAGGCATATAAAACCGGACTATTACTACGTTGCAATGAGATTCGAGCAAAAGAGACCGAGGTTGCTTATCTCCCAATAGAGGCTATGTTTACAAATCCTTTGATATAAGGATTAGTGAAAATTGTGTTTGCCAAGCATGTACATGCGATGGACTTGAAGTGATTGTATGGCCTTCAAAGGCCAAATGGGAGATGTTGGGTTTTGTGGAGCTTGAAAATAAAATAATTTAGAGTATTTTGTACACTACAATTCAATTGTATTGCGGTTGACTGACCTAGTATTGGACGATATAGGGCTCGGGTCACATCCAAAACCTTTACCTCTGAGCATGTGGTACTACCATTGAGTGGCTGTTGTGGGTTTTCCCTTGTTGAGGTCGAAAAGATACCTAGGGATAATATTTATTGGCCAGAAGAGGTGTATGGTCTCCTATTTGCTGAGGAAGGATTTGTGAAAGCAAGAGCCAAATACTCAACATAAATTCCACATAACATATACATATGACAACCGTATTTTGGGAAGCAACCTTATATAGAAGGATACATGTACATATGCATAGAGAGAGTGCTTCTTTGTATAATAGTTATGTGTGCATTTGACTTGCTCTTGGCGGGAACTTGTAATCCACATACTGGGACAATGGTTCTATTATTTATTTGCTAACTTTGACGGATCAATCATGAGCCCATGCTTTTGATTGTGGGTCATGGATTCAATTGGTTAGTTTAAGAAGATAGTAGGGTCTCATAGGTCATGGCACGGGTGGAGTGCCATGATATTCACTTGTTATCTGACTAATAAGGTACCCATCCACTTCTAGATTGTATTTCTGTTAGTTTTAGTTTTTTTATGGAAATCCAGAAACATTGTTTTCAATTAAAAAAATGTTCTTATGATCTTTGGGGATTTTTTTAGAAATTTAAAAACGAATTTTAAATGTGTAAAAATCCCAAAAGGGTATTTCTATATTTTTTAAAATATGAGGGAATTTTTGGGAATTCAATTATTAGTGGGACCATGTGGGGGGCTCAGGGCCCATCCCCAACACATGTGGGGCCCACATAGGGGCATCATGTCAAGCCCACGAGGGCCCACATGTCCCATTAAGTGTGATGCCCACTTTTTTTTTTTGTAAAAGAAAAAATGTAACATTTTGGTTAATTTTTTTTTAAAGATTATCATACTGATTTTCTTAATAACTATAGAGGGCCTAATTATCTCTTTCTAGGAGACCATTTATCTTTGATTGTTCTAAAATAAGGTTTAACTAGTCAAAGTTCTAAATGGATTAGAAGTGCATATGGGTCAAATCTTAGGGGATAAGTTTATTAAATATCCTCTCTGAATCATGATGATTAATCTCAAAGATTGATGGCTCAGATTTAATATTCTCTCACCTCACAGATCTCCTAATAATCCTAGATATTGTTGAACTCTCTGTCATTTCTCTCTAGGTCCTCTCTCTTTTCTCTCCCAAAAGGTAGCATGCCACCCATAAGAGTTGATGTTGCACACATCTCAAAAAGAGAGGCCAAGGAGAGGGCACGCCCAACCCTAGGCTATGGGAGGTGCCTTTGTGGCTTGCTGAGGTTTAAAAATGGTTTCTTTGTAGAAAACCTTATTGTTGCCCTAGCTCTCTTTAAAATCAAAGAGGGAGTTCTAGAATTCCTTCCTAGTTCAGATTGGTGGTTTCAGCAGGTTCTATGATCCAGTGCACTATTGATCAGCTGATCGGGTGTGGGGTGTACTAGAACCCTAAGAAAATTCCAATAAGTCTTCTCTTATTTATTTACATTTAGTTGATGTTGTTTTTTGTCTTATTTTTTCTTCCTAGAATCTCAGTATTGTATTTAGTTTGAATAAAAATTATTTGGAAGTGAGTTATAAAGATTTTAGACTATAATAATTTAAGAAAAAGTATAAAATGAGACTATTTACTTTTTGTACAAGGTGGTCACAATTAGTTTTGACCATTGGATGTGAAATTGGGTGGCTGCATTTATTCCATTGACCAAGCTCAAACTTCAAAAGAAATTTTTTCGAAACTTCGTGACATACCTAAGCTATCGAATTTCACATTGGATGGGTGCAAGTAATTGTGCTCACTTTGTATCAAAGGTAAATGGTCTCATTGCATATAATCCCATAATTTAAATGTGTTATATTTGTGGCATCTATAAGTAGAGTTTCCAGCAATTAATAAAAGAAAAGAACGAAAATCTCTGAATTTACAGCCTGAAATTCATTTAGGGCCCTATTAAGTATCTAGATATAAGTTATAGTTATGTGGTTGCTTTAAAGTCTTGCTCCAAGGTGCTGTCAACGTTAGTTGCCAAGTGTGGCAGAGTGTGAATCCCTGCCCGTTGCATTTTTGATGGATTGTAAAGTATTTATGCCGATCATTTCTCTTTGGTAGTCTGGTCTTTGAAGAGAAACAATTCATCTCTGTTTCCGTAATGCATTATCTCATTGTAATCACAATTTTTGAGACAATAATGATGATTTTTTTTTTTCCTTCCTTTTGTGTTTTTTCTGTTCTCATTATTTTAATGCTAAACTCTATGGTCTGTAGGGAGCCGGGCACACAGCTCCTGAGTATAAGCCCAAAGAATGCGCTGCAATGTTAAAGAGGTGGATCTCAAATGAGCCATTGTAAATTATCAGTATAACTGCCTTCATTTTTAAGAGATTGTGTAATTTATGGGAGGTTCAAACTGTGTCTTAATGTGCTAAAGGCTTGTGTGATTTGTATGTATGAAGTGACTTGTCTATTGTACATGAAATAAATTAATTTTCAATGAAATAATTGTCTATTGTATTTAATTTGAAATAATATATAAAACATTGGCGCAACAACTTATCAATTTTACATTTTAGATCTCATCATCGTCATGTAGTGACAATCCTTTGGCTTCCAGTTCATGTGAACTACACATTCCATCCAACTTTTGGGGAACTGAATTCTGCTGTTCTTGGGTGCTAACAAACCTTGGTCCTGCAGTAACTGTGAATTAACTAACTTTCCATTAGGTAATAAGACCATTTCAATATCGTAACATAAGATTTTACATATTTTATGAACTTGTAGCTTGTCATAGAATTGGGACTTAAGGACAAGCCTTACTCATCCAGACCTAATCTTTATTGTTTTCGGTCTCCTGCCTTTCCCATGATTGCTTTGGTTAAAGGAAAAAGTTTATATAAGGGTGAGTCCCTAAACAATCAAATTATGGCGCACTTCATAAATTCATTAGAAAATGACATATTTTAATACCCAAAAATCCTCAAATCGATCATCTCGACCTCAAGATCTATGAAAATGAGAAAAAATAGATTGAGTCTCAAAGATAGTGCATCTCATAGTGCATTTACTTAACCATCAATTTTCAAGATTTTCAAGCATTCATGAATCTGCTTGAACTATGCTATATTAATTCTGAAATTTAATAATTAGAGACGAAAAATAAATTTTCAGCCATCACAAAGAATTCTGATACTGAAACGTGTTTTGGTCTATTTGAACGTGTTCCTTTGATGTTTAGGGTCTCAGCCTTAATAAAAAAACACACCCTTTAAAAAGGAACACCTTCCAAACACTCCCTTTAAAAAGTGCTTTGTATTAAGGCCGAGGCCCTAAACAAGGGAGCACTTTCAAATAGTATCGAAACATGTTGTTTTAGCATCATAAATCTTTTTTATGGCTGAAAATTTATACATTATAAGATGCACTATGTTCAAGACTTGCAATCCATTTTTTTATCATGTCTTTGCAATCCATTTTTTTATCATGTTTATACATCTTGAGGTCAAGATGATCGAATTGAGGGTTTTTAGCATTAAAAAAACTTTTTCTAGTAAAGTTTTGAGATCCCTTAATTTGATTGTTCAGGGCATCACCCATATGTAAACGTTTTCCTTGGTTAGAAGCCCAAACTAAGCCTCACTCTATTTCTTTCTGTCCATTTCAACTTTTTGACGTGTTCAGTAATTACCAATCTGGAAATATTGGGAACCTAGGAATATGAAATCTGGAACTCAGAAACCTGGAATGGCAAAGCCCTTGTTTGGTAATCTAAGATTTGCGTATCGCTTGTTTGATTAAACCTGGGAAACTGGAAATTAACCTATTTTAACCTTTCATTCGAATACATTACGATGGGTTGATATATGTTCAATAAAGGAACTTCAACAATCATGTATCTTTCAAAGTAGTACTAATAAAAGGGTGTGGTTTGCATAAGGTTGCAGCCATAAACAACTAAATAAAGGTGCTCCTCCAAATTTTATCACAAATATAATTTTGGTGTCAAAGTTTTTTAGAATAGCTTGAGAATCTATTTTAATCTCTAATTACATAAATTTTTAAACTCCAAAAATGGTCCAAATTCAGTAAATCTATAAACACATGAAAATATTGAAAATAGATGGTCCAGATAATGTGTTGTAAGATATATTATTTTTGGGACTCAAAATATGTTTTCTTTACATATTCATACATTTTGATGTTGAGATGATCAACTAGAGGGTTTTTCAACATCAAAACAACCTTTTATAACGAATTTTTGAGGTGCACCTTAATTCAACATTTTAAAGTTGCAACGTTATATAAACTTTTTAAAGTTGCAACGTTATATAAACTTTTTCCCTAATAAAATGGACGGTTTATGTCAAAAAAATTGATGGACAACTTTGCAATATATGGGATTTGATTTATTCATTTTCTTTATTGGTGTATTTCATTTTACATGCTCTTATAATTACGGAGACATGGTTTACTGATTGTTTTTTCCTCTCCTGTGAAAAACGCGTGCTCGAATATCCTCCTTTCCTCCCACAATTAGTTAGTCTAAGAACGGGTTTGCTTTTCTAATAGCAAGCTTGAACTGGATGAGATATGGAATAATTTTTCTCTAAATAGATACTCCCAAAAGAAGTAAGATATATTTTCATATATATCTTATGCATTTCTCTCATCTCCCAGCTATCCAATCTGAATGTATGGCTAATATGGCCCCAATCATAGTATCATGCCTATATACTGATTTATTTATAATGTTTTCTAGAAAATATTTTGACATCAAATTCGGGCGTCCACTCTCTTAAACTCGCACAGGCAAAAAATATTAAAAAAATATGTTCTTGATAAATAAAATAACCAAAATAATAAATAAAATAACCAAAATACCCCTAAAAGTTTTAGTGGTATTTTTTTCATTTTATTATTTCAAAAATATTTTTAATATTTTCTTTAGGTGTATCCCATTGAGATGACGATGCGTAATTTGCATATTTATATGATTTATAAAATTAAAAATGTTATATAGAGTCGAGGCACTAAACAATCAAATTAGAGCACACCTCAAAAATTTCAATGGAAGAGGTTGTTTTGATGCCCAAATATCCTCAAAAGTGATCATCTCGATATCAAGATGTATGGACATGATAAAAAAAAAAAATGGATTTCAAGTTTAGAAAATAGTGCATCTTGTAACATATTTTTCGACTGTCAATTTTTAAGATTTTCAAGTTTTCAAATATCTGCTCGATCTACACTATTTTTTAAGTTTTAAATTTTATAATTAAAGATAAAAATATATTTTATGGCTATGACAAAGATTTCCAATACTGAAACCACATTTCTCGACACTATTTGAAGGTGTGCTTTACTCATATTGTTTAGAGCTTCGGCTCTATACATACCGCACCCTTTATAAAAAGTTGAAAAAAAAAATACTCTGAGAAGACAAATCTATAACACATGGTTAGTGGCTCACTTGTAACATTTTGAGACAAATAACCTCAGTCCACTTAAATTGGACAACTGGATAAGAGAGAAAACATGGTGAATTTCCCTAGATCATCTCGTTATATACTTTCCCTATATTTAAATACCAAGGACGTTACCAAACATATGTAATAGTGCTTTTTAAACAAGTTAAGAATCCACATTCTTCAAGAATAGATTGGACCCTTGGCAGTAATACCAACTAGCCTTATGATGAAGTCTATAGCTCTATTCTCAACAAAGGTAGGGTCCCAAATCCCTATTGACTTACATTTTGACCTTGAGGTTGCTATTCTCAACAAAGGTAGGGTCCCAAATCCCCATTGACTTACATTTTGACCTTGAGGTTGCTATGCTAAAGGTCTCCAATTATATTGGTGGTGCTCCTCAGTCCTAGGGTTTACCCCCGTCTACATCAAGTTGTTTGATTTAGATATGGCAGGAGGTTGAGAGATTTACCCATTACAACCACATAGGGATTTTTTAGTTTGGATTTATTGTGCAAGTAGATTATTCTCAACTAAAGGGCTTGGGAGTTTATTTGGCATAAGGGTACCTCTTTGCCGATTTTTATAATCTTGTGGTCATCAAAATGTCATCCTCGAGTGGAATGGTTCTCTTGGTTAGCCTTTCACTATTGTTTATTCACTATCTCTCTCCTACAACGTGGAATAGCCATGACCCGTCATGTATGTCCCTTTTGCACAAATAGTGATGACATCCCCTGCCATCTATTGTTCCTCTGTGATATTTTGTAAGCTATATGGATATCTCTTACAAGGTGTTGCGGGAAATGCTTTATTTCTTGCTCTTCTATTCCTATTATGCTAAGAAGTTTGTTATCTTTTAGATTCAAATCAAATGGGTTTTTCAATATTTGGATGTCTCTATTTTTCACAACTTCTGGATTTTATGAGCGAAAGACAATCGGAGAGTTTTCTGATCAAGATTAATCAGGAGGGAACAATTGTTTCGACAGATCATCTCTCATGTTCGAGAGTTAGCTGATGCTAAATCATGGACATTCTATATTTCAAAAAAAGCACTCATTGAAAATTTACATGTCAATTACCATCAACGTTTGGCCATCCTGGTTGTGTGGTCATTTCCTAGCCCTAATCACTTTAGGCTAAACATTGATAGGGCTTCCTTGTGCAACCCATGTCGAGCAGGTGGGGATGGTGTTATTAGAGATGGTGACGGTGCCTTTATTGCAATGTTTTCAAAACCTTTTGGAATCGCTTCTAATAATTATGCATAATTCTTTGCTCTTGAAGAAGGTCTAACTCTTGTTGTTCTGTTAAAGTGTTTCCCTCTTCAAATTGGAAGCGATTCAGCCCTGCTCGTTAGTGCCACATATCGTTTACAAGCCATTGTTTGGCATTCTCGTCCACTGGACTTTATTTTCGTTAGTACTTCATGATTTGTCACTAGTGCCATGTTCCAGGATAGTAAAGAAATGAGCTATAACCTTTTTCATTTTAAAATATTATTAAAAAAGGGGTAGGGGACCTTACATAACCCAGGTCGAGCAGGTGGGGGTGGTCTTATTAGAGACGGTAACGGTGCCTTTATTGCAGCGTTTTCAATACCTTTTGGAATCGCTTCTAATAATTAGTCAAGTCGAGCAGGATGCATTGTTGCATCTTCCTCGGTCCAACAACTATACGTGAATTTTTCTTATTTTTATTTTTTTGGGTTAGTTATTTTTTTGAACAATTGTTTCATGCAGACTGGACAACATTTGTACAATATGAGGTTGAGAGGCATAAAGCATCCATCTAAAGTTGGATGCAAATAGGTGACCCATCTAAAAACAATTGTAACTAACGGTCCAAATGTTTTCTTAATATAATTATTATTTTAGTTTTC